TTTTTTTTTTTTTTTTTTTTTTTTGGTACCAAGGATTGAACTCAGGGGAACTCGATCACTGAGTCTCATCTCCAGCCCTATTTTGTGCTTTATTTAGAGACAGGGTCTCACTGAGTTGCTTAACACTCGCTTTTTACTGAGGCTGGCTCTGAACTGTTGATCTTCCTGTCTCAGCCTCCTGAGCCATTGGGATTACAGGCCTGTGCCACCACGCCTGGCTTATTTGGACATATTCTTTGGAGAAATGTCCACTCAGATCCTTTGCCCATTTAAAAGTAATTATTATTTGTTATTGAGTTGGAGAGGTTTCTTATACATTTTGGGTATTAACCCCTTGTCAGATACACGCTTTGCACTTTTTTCCATTCCAGAGATTCCCTTTTCATTCTATTGATGTTTACTTTGTAGCTTTTTAATTTGATATGATTCCATTTGTCTTTTTTTTCCATTTTTTTTTTGCTTTGGTTTGTTTTTGGTGTTATATCTAAGAATTAATAGCCAAGGCCAATGTTTTAAAGATTTTCTCTATGTTTTTTTCTAGGTGTCTTATAGTTTCAAGTTTTATGTTTAATTACGTCTTTAATCCATTTGAGTTGATTTTTTGTGTGTGTGTATGTGTAACATAAAAGTCCAATTTCATTCTTTTGCATGTGGATATCCAGTTTTTCCAACACCATTTTTTGAAAAGGTTACCTTTACCCCATTGTGTAGTCTCGGTGCAATTGTGGAAGATCATTTGGTTGTAAATGTGTGGGTTTAATTCTGTGTTCTCCATTCTCTTCCATTAGTCTATTATTCTGACTTTATTTCCAGAACTTTTGATTACTTTAGCTTTAGAATATGTTTTGAAGTCAGGAAGAATCAGATTTAAGATCTGTTATTCTTTCTCATTTTGGCCATTTGATGTCCTTTTGTGTTTCTTCTGTAGGTATTTTTTTCATGGTAGCCAAGGGCTTACTAAAATATTTTATGTGTCACTTCTCAGTCTTTTGACTAAAATCAAGTGTATTAAAGCATCTTATAATAATCAAATTTAAGTTGATAACAACTTAATTTCAATAATATACAAAACTGTACTTTTTACCCCACACTCACTTTGTTATTGATGTCACAAATTAGATCTCTTTATATTTTTTATAGTTTTTAAATACTTTTTGTTGTTTACCTTCTAAACAAGAATTAAAAGTGATTTATAGTTTTTCATTATTATAGTATTCTATATTTGCCAAAATATTTAATGTTATCAGTGAAGTTTATACTTTCCTATGTTTTCATGATGTGTCTTTTACTTCAAATTGCAGGATTCCCTTAAGCATTTCTTGCAATGCAGGTAGGGTTCAGTGGTGATGAACTTACTCAGTTTTATCTAGGGAAGTCTTTGTATCTTTTTTTCTTTTTCTTTTTCTTTTTTAAACATAGGGTCTTGCTATGATGCTCAGGCTGCTCTTGAACTCCTGGATTCAAGCAATCTTACTGCCTCAGCCTCCTAAATAGCTGGGACCAACAGACCCTCTTTCCTTTTTGAAAGATGGTTTTGTTGAATGTAGTATTTTTTATCTGAAAGTTTTTTTTTCTTTCAGCACTTTGGATATATCATCCCACTCCTTCCTAGCCTGCAAGGTATTTTGCAGAGAAATCCATTGGTAGTCTGACAATCTTCCCTACTATGTGACAGGACTTGTTTTCTCATGCAGCTTTCAAAAGTCTTTCTCTTTGACTTTTGACAATTTAATTACGTCTTTGTGTGGACCTCTTTGGTTTTATCTTAGATGAAGTCTGTTGCATGTCTTGAGTCTAGATATCCATTCTTTTCCCAGTTTGGGGGAGTCTGGGGACATTATTTCCTCAAAAGCTTCCTGTTCTTTCCTTACTCCCTTGTCCTTCCGGGACTCCCATAATGCAAATATTGGTTCACTCAATGGTTTCTCATGAGTCCCTAAGGCTTTTTTCACTCTTTTCAAATTTTTTTTTCTTTGCTCCTTTAACTGGATCATTTCAAGTGGATTGACTTTGAATTTACCGGTTCTTTCTTCTGCCTGATCCAATCTGCTATTGTATTCCTTCCACAATTTTTTAATTCAATTATTGGATTCTACAGTCCCAATATTTGTTTGGCTCTTTTTTTTTTTTTTTTTTTTTAGATTTTCTCTTTTTTTTATATTCTCATATTGTTCATTCATCATTATTCTGGGCTTATTGAACATACTTATTGACTCCTCTCCTGGGAAACCTTTAAGAAATACAGCTTTCCAGAACCCTCCCTGGCGATTCAGATGTATATACAGGTTTGGAATCCATTCCCACTAAAAAGACGATTTTCAGCCTCTCCCACCTCCCAGCTCTTTCCAAGGCACTATTTCTGGCCTAGTAGGTTCTGACTTTCTCTTTCATTCTCTGTGTAATTCCACAGCTGAGGAAGTGGAACTTCAGAGACACTTCTGAATCTCTTCCCTAAATCCAAGACACCAGAGAGCCCACCAACTCTTCCTCTATCTGCCTTTCTGGGAGCCACCATGTCACTGAGCGATGTCGACGTGCAGAAGCAGATCAAGCACATGATGGCTTTCATCGAGCAGGAAGCCAATGAGAAGGCAGAGGAAATAGATGCCAAGGCTGAGGAGGAGTTCAACATTGAGAAAGGACGTCTTGTGCAAACCCAGCGACTGAAGATTATGGAGTATTATGAGAAGAAGGAGAAGCAGATAGAGCAGCAGAAGAAAATTCAGTTGTCCACCATGAGGAACCAGGCAAGGCTGAAAGTCCTGAGAGCCCGAGATAACCTCATCTCAGAATTGCTCAGGGATGCAAAGCTGAAACTTGGTAGAATCGTGGCGGACCCAAAAGTATACCAGGATTTGCTGGATAAACTAGTGCTCCAGGCTCTGCTCCGATTGCTGGAGCCCGTGGTGATTGTGCGCTGCAGGCCACAGGACTTCCTCCTGGTGGAGACTGCAGTGCAAAAGGCCATCCCTGAGTACCAGAATGTAACCCAAAGAAATGTGGATATCCACATGGATCAAGAAGATTACCTGGGTGTGAATGCCGCTGGAGGGGTGGAGATCTATAGCAGCAATCGGAAAACAATGGTTTCCAATACCCTGGAAAGTCGCCTGGATCTCTCAGCCCAGCAAAAGATGCCAGAAATCCGAATGACATTGTTTGGAGCTAATCCCAACAGAAAGTTCTTTATATAAAGCTCTGGAAAGTGAAGCTTGGGTTAAACTGCCAAGTCATTAAAAGTAAGTTATTTGGGCAAAGGAAACTAGTAATGTTTCCTATTCTTTGAAAGCTCCAATATGGTCCTATCTTCTTTCATAAAAGAAAGCTTTCGCTTTGAATAGCTAAAGGCCTTATGTGTTTTTAACTTTGGAATAAAGCTCAAGTTGATGCTCATAAATTAAATTCCAGTTCATTCACACATACAACAGCTTCTGGACCATTCTGCAGTCTGGGATGCAGCGACTGAAGATATCTGCTTGTTAGCTTAGCTTTGGATGAGACGTGAATTGCATCCTTGACCTGTAGGCTCTGTGCTCTGTTTTTTCAATACGCATGTGTGATGTGTTTCCATTCTTTTGTTTCAGCTTCAGTCTCTGAACTTGTGTTATGTGAAAAGTTTTGAGGTCTTTCTCATGCACACAAGGCCAACTTCATAGGCATAAGATCAGTACTGTCACAAGGGCCCAGCACTTGCAGTGTAGCTCTATAGTCACTGCCTTGAAATCCTTAATTTTATCTTTGGAATTGTGTTTTGAAAGTGAAGCCCCAGTGGACACTGGAATATGCACCAAGGGTTTGGAGCTTCAGCTCATGCATGCTAATGAAGCCTACCTAACTGAAGCCTACTTACCTCCCCAAGTCACCCACTTCTAGCCCCCTTAGAGCCCTGAGGCCCAGCCTTTCTCTTCTTTGTCCAGTGAACATTGCCACCTTCTATCCCTGGTGAGGGGCCTAGTGGGCATACAGAGGGGGTCAGAGTGGGGTGTGCATTCTCTCTGGAGTCTCCAGACCAGTCTTAATTGTGGCCATCCCTATCCTAGGCCCAGTCACTGCATAGGTCTGGTGACTGGTGGGAAGAGGATTCCAGCTCAAGTGACAAGACAGGACGCTCAGGAGTTTATGAGAGTCTGTGCATGACCTACCAAAGTATCCCCATGCCTGGTAATGTGCTCCCTGAGAGAGTTCAATGCCTAGAGGCCTTCAGCTCATCTCTTCTGGAAGAAGTCAAGAAACACATATCATGCAATTTTGCTGCTTTTGCATATGGGCATTACACAGCATAAAATGGTTAAATTCATCCTAACAATTTACAGTTTTAAGTTTTCTTTACTTAGGAAGACAATAGCTAGGAAATAAACACCATGAAGAGTGGAGAGAGTGCAGGAAAAAGGAAAGCGCTTTGTGTCGAAGTGCCTTAACTGGCACGTTTTCCTGCTTTTTGAACAAAGGATCTCACGTTTTTTTATTGCGAAGTGGCTCCTGCAAATTATATGGCTGGTTTTGCCTAGGTCTATTCTGTGTCTGAACATGCTTCATAGATTAAGGTTTTTGAAGAAATCCCAACCATCTCTCTTAGGGCAAAGGTTGTAGCCTGTGTGATTAGGACAGTGTAAGGATCAGAAACCCCATGGAACTCATCATGAAGTAGGAAACAACTTATTGGTAAACCAGGGGCCTGACAGGACTCTCTCATGGCTCCAGCAGAGGGCTGGAACTGGGACTCAGACAACCCCTGAAATCCTCTGTAAGGCCACTTCATTTTCTTTCTTCCAAGAGTGACATTCTCTACTGTCCCGTGTCACTGGTGAAATAGGGATGCTCCACAGTTCCGAGGTTTACATGTGACAGTTCCAGAAACAAACTTGCTTCTCTTGGAGCCAATTCCACTTTCCTGAAAGGGAACTCATTTGGCTGAGCTTAGGTCAGTGTCCACTTAGGGTCCAGTTGGTGTCTGCTGCAGTTCCTGGGGTGGGGGTGGGGCCTTTATCAGCTGAATGGGCTCCCCAAAGAGTGACTTATGTGTGGGCCCTTTAGAGTTTCAAACTCGATCATTCAATGTCCACTTGCTAAGTGTCATTGATGAGCTAAGCGCCATTATGGTGCTGGACTGCCATCCTGTATTTTAATGGATCATAGATGTAGAAACACATAATTTTTTTTTTAGATTTTTTAAATTTATTTTTTACATACATGACAATAGTGGAATGTATTACACTCATTATTACCCATTGTGGTAATGGGACAATGTACCGAGTGCCGGCCTAGTGTTGATTCAAGACACCATGGGAATACAGGGACAGGAAGGGAGGATTGCAGGATACTGCTGGGGTGCTGGCCATTGTGCTGGGGGAAAGAGCTGCAGGCAAGGGTGGGAGATCCTGGGTGCAAAGGCTCTGAGGTGTGAAAAGCAGGATGTATTAGAGGACCCACGGGCAGGTCAATGCTATGGAGGGTGAGGATTGAAGAGGCTGTAGGGATGGGCAGGGCCTGATGACTTAGTGTCTCTGTCTTAGGCCTTTAGCTGTAATTCTGTTGGGTAGAAAAATGAGGGGTCTCTACAGGACTTTAAGAGTGAAACAATGAGAACTAGACTTTGGAAAAAAAAAGAATGTTTAGTTCACTATAGAAGGAGGACCTATCAGGGAGGGGAGAGACTAGAAGTCAGAGACCTGGGGGCGGGGGGCTGTTTATCAGCCTCAGCGAGAGATGAAGAATAATCCCTCCAGCTTTTTTTTTTTTTTTCTTTTTTAAAAGAGAGAGTGAGAGAGGAGAGAGTGAGAGAGAGAGAGAGAATTTTTAATATTTATTTTTTAGTTCTCGGCGGACACAACATCTTTGTTGGTATGTGGTGCTGAGGATCGAACCCGGGTCGCGTGCATGCCAGGCGAGCGCACTACCGCTTGAGCCACATCCCCAGCCCCCTCCAGCTTTTTTCTGAGGCAGATGAAACTCCAGGATACTTAGGCCTCTTAGGAAAGAGTAGGCTCAGACCCCGTGTCCTATGTACCCTCTCCCTCCCCCATATATCTCTTCGCTTGTTCAGGACTTAAGGTCTTATCACTTACAATTTTTTCTTGTAAGTCTTGGAACCATCCCCTTCTCTCCTAGCCAAGCCAGCAAAGTGTCCCCTTCCCAGCTGACCAAGCCTCCAGCTGCCTTGCCTTCTGGGAACCGTTCCCCTACTTCCTGCTCTAACCCAGGAACGTTTTGGCCAGCACCCGTCTGGCCCTCTGAGCCACCCTTATCTGTGATCTGCTCCAGCTATTGATTCATCCCCTACCAAAATGGTTAGTCACGTAGGTTTTTACGGAAGTTTTGTGGCAAGTAGAAGCCCATGGGACAAACGTTCCCCTAAGACCCAGCCAAACATCTCTGTTTTCCCAGATGTTCTTTCCAGAGCAGCCACACATTCTCTTTCTGTTTCCTCCTCAGCTTCCCACCTGTGGCTTCCAGTCTCCTCCTTCACCACGACCCCTCAGCAACCTGGTGGTGAATCAAGCCTTGATGTCCCCAAGGCCCTGGGCACAAGGACTGTGCCCGTCCTGAGGACTTTTCACGTCCTGAGGACTTTTCACGTGCTGCCTCTGCTTACTGTTAGCTACTTTCCACCCACCCGATCTTTCCTGACCTTGCTTCCTGGGCAGGGACTGATCTTTGATCTTGGTGTCCCTGCAGCTTTGTCACTTTGGTGCGTGACATTGGGTACACACATGGGAGCTCTAGATGAGCAATGTTGGTTGCTGGTCTTCTTCCGGAGCCTGGCCCTGGTTTCCAGATGGAGGACTCCAGGGTCTTGCTTGTCCTCTGGTCCATAGAAAGTGGCAAGAATATGATATGGGGGTCGGCAGGGGGTTGGGGAGGAGAGGCATCTGCGCAGATCTGGGGACTGATCTTTGTTTCTAGAAGAAAATTCTTTACTCTCCTGGGAAAGACTGTGGATGGGAGCAGCCCCTAAATCCAAGGAAGAATATGCTGGCTGTCACTTCAGTCCTGGATTGATGACCCCCTGGCTGTGCCTGGGGCTTACTGCACCTCTTCCCTCCCTGGGAAGCAAGAGGGGAGGGCTTTGCTCTGGAGCAGGGTGCACAGGCAGGACGCTCTGGGGGGATGGGCCTGGACTGTGTCCTCCACAGGGGCCTTAGCCACAGCAGCGGGCGTGTGTCTGTGTGGCCTTCTGTCCTAGACTTGCCATCTGGCCTAGGCTGCGGTCACCATGCTGCAGAGCTGGGACAGCTGCATCCTGTCAGGGTCTTCACTACAGAAATGCTTGCTCTGGGCAATTCAGTCAAATGGTGCAAACCCGAGTGCGAGTGCGTTCTTTGTGTTAATGTTCTACCCTTAAGAAGGCGCGTTCCTGTGTAAGCGCCTTAGTCCCCTGAGCCAAAAGGAGGGAACTGTGACAACCGAAGCCAGGCACAGCCCTTCCCATCCGCTCTCCTCATTAACACTTCCTCCGGAGGTGCAAGGGAAGCTGTTGCTGCTGAGGCACAGGCTCTGCTTGTGGTAACGTGGTGTTGAAGACACACTCCCAGCTGCACTGCTGGGGAGCTGGGGGAGCCAGAACCGGAACTCACAGCAGCGGTTTGGTCTTGCCCTTCTCAGGCACCTGCCAACCTGTGGGTCAAGTCCCTCAGCCAGGGTCCCTTGGTGGAGGGGAGGATAGATGGAATTCTGATCTGGAACTTCCTGGCCATCAGAGATGGGACTGAAGCTTTGACCATGTGTCAGGCCCTCAGAGAAGGCAGGGAGAGCAGACCAGCAGCACAAAAATGCAGGACTTTCTCTCTGACCCCGGGGTCACTGCAACTTCAGAAGCGGGTCAGTTGATCTACTCTCAGCCACGGAGTAACCATGGCCCCTTGTTGCACTCTTTGGGAACACTGCCTCCTGCCCTACTCCTTAACTTTCCCAGGACATCCCTGTATCCCTTCCAATTCATGATCCCTGAAGTCACACCTGCTATTGGAGGACAGGGAGAGGACCTCTGTGTCTCCTCCTATGGCCACCTCCCACACTCTGTTTGAAGTCTGAGAATCCTTGCTCTCAAGCTGTCATGCTTCATTAGCAAGCTCATGGCTCACCCAATGGACTTGTCCTACAGGACAGCGCTCTTTTTATTGAGAGGCAAATTACTTCTCTCTGCAGACACAGCAAAAGGGAACCCCAAATTCTTGAGATTCAGCCTTGGCAAACCCTTGACCCATCGCCTGCCTCAGCTACTTCTTTGGAGGGATGGAATTGAGCACAGACTTCATCACAGGGAGATGAGTCTGCAAAAGGTGATGCTGGACTCACCCTGGCCACTACCAGACCTGAGCAGATTTCATGTCTTGAAGATTACAGAAGGTTCAGAGCTTTAGGGAAACTTGAGAGCAGAATGGTGGTTTGAATCCAAAGCCCAAAGGAAGCAAGGACTTAGCTAATAAGACTCATGGGACTACAAACAAAAAGCCTGAAAAGACCTCAGTTATCATCACTCATTTAATGAAAAGCATGCCATATAGAAGCTCGAGAACTTTGGCCAACAGGATAGATATGACGAAAATACACGGTCACAGAGGGTCCTCGGAGAAGGCTGCTTCTGTCCTTCCCAGACCTCATGCTGACCTCAGGGCTCAGTCACAGTGAGGACCCACAGAGATGGAGTGCCTGCGGGTGACTGCACAGATATGCAAACTTGAGGAGCCAGGGAAAGACCAGGTCCCTGTATAAAGAGTGCTGGGAGCACGTCAGGAGATGAGTGGGTGGGAAGTTGAGCCCCACATACAGCAGGCTGGCTCAGGGCCAGGTGTGGGTGAACCTTAGAAAGGAAAAGGAGGGAAGGAAGGAAAGGAAGGAGGAGCAGGCAGAGAGGGGGAGGGCAGGGGAGGAAAGAATGGAAACGAGATGGGTAGAGGCTTCGCTGGTGGAAGGAGAACAATAGGGGGTATGAAGGTTCTTGTCTTTGCCCCTTTGGATTTTGAGCTCTGAGTTCTCAGATTCAGATCAGCAGACCTCTGATCCATCCATTCATTCTGCAAATATTTATTGAGTTGTTATCAAGTGCCAGGCATTCTGCTGGCCCTGCATCCTTTGCAGGGAACAGGATAATTAAGGTCCCAGACTTCACAAAAGAGAATTCTGATATGGATGGGGGTGGGCACAAGTGGGAGGGGTCAGGGTTCACCAGGGATCACTAAACAGGTAGGCAGTGGATGATTTTAGGTCTAAGCTCTAAGTAAAAATTTATGGGTGGAGAGGACTTCTGTGACCCCAGCTCAGGTGGGGCTCCTTTCTAAATGTCCCCTGCCTCTAGAGGATGAGAAGGAGGGTAGCTGGGTATGAATGGTGAGGGGCCATTCTACATAGATGGCACCTTCTATGGGTTCCCATATGATAGAAGAGGCCAACCATCTCCCCCTAGCATTTGTTTGTTTGTTTATCCTTCCACAATTTTTAGTTCACATTATAGTTCACAAGATGGTGGGATTTGTTATTACAGATTCATATGTGCACACAATGCAATGATATAATTTGGCCAATATCATTCCCCAGCACTTCCCTGGCTATCTTTTAAAAGGACAATAATTCCCTTCATGAGGCAAGGGCCCTCTGGACCTAATCAACTCCAGAGTCCCCACTTCTTAATACTGTACAATCTTACATTTTTTGGAATGTCCTCCAGAGTCTCATGGGATGAAGGCTTGGTCCCTAGTACAGCAACATTCAGAGGTGAAGCTTTGGGGAATTGATTGGATCCTGAGAGTTCTGAACTCATGAGTGGATTAATCTACTGATGGCTGGAAGGACTACTGGGAGGTGGCGGAGGCTATGGGAGGTAGAGCCTAGTTGAAGGAATGGGCCCTTGGGGACACACCCTTGGGCATTATATATTGTCCTTGTCCCTTTCTGTTTTCTCTTTCTGCTTCATGGTTGCTGTGTGATGAACAGCTTTCCTCTGCCATGCCTTTCCACCATGATATTTCTGACTTGAACTTGCTGACCATGAACTGAAACCTTTGAAATCATGAACCAAAAGGAATCTTTCCACCTCTAAGTTGTTGTCCTCATGTATTTATTACAGGGATGAAAAGCTGACTAACATAATCACATGGTGATTAGGTTTCAACATAAGAACTTAGGGGGACTCAAACATTCAGATGATAGCGACACCATCTGAACCACCTTGAATTATGAAGGCATCAAGGCAAGAAAAGCTGTGCAGTTTTGAGAAGCATAAAGGTGACCTTCAGGGCTTCCCTGAGTGAGTGGAGGACAGAAGGGAAGGGCAGGGTCAGATCTCACAGGGTCCTGTGAGTGGTATTGAAGGCCTTTGGTTTTGTTTTAAGTATGAGGGGAAGCCATTCAGAGTTTGTAAGTGTGGAAGGGATATAACCACATTTTACTGTGTGCCCAATTCAGCATTTTGCCCCTCACCTTCCTAGCTCAAAAGCCACCTCACCAGCTCCACAGAAATGGGAAGCTAGTGTGCAGGGAGCAGCCAGCTCACACCAATACACAGGTCTCTTCACAGGCAACAGTTTTTTTCAGTAGCAGGAACTGGTAAAGTTCAGGTGCTCCACCGCTGCGGTGGAAGCAAACACTTAAATGCACCATTGGCAGAATCCTTAGGTCTGTCAATCCCATCATCCCCACACTCCCACATCCTCTTTTCCTTACTGGGGACCCTGCCTTGCCAGCAGGATTGATAAACCTTGGCCTAGTGCTCCCTCTTAGCCTTTTGTGCCATAGCACATCTGCAGTGTCCTCAGGTTCAATTCCCCCAGACTCTGCCCCCCATTGCTGGCCAGCTGTCACTGACCATTGACCACTGCTGGTCTCTCATTCCACACTTGTGTTACTGGCACCTGCCTTGTTTGTTCCTGGCCCTTGACAAATAGTCACTGATGGGGTCTCTGCTCCTCCTACTAGAGCTGTGAGCACCAAGGGATGTACCCTGAAGAGCGTGGGGGAGGATGAACTGCATTTAATGGCCTCTCCCTCTATCCTAGGGCAGGGCAGGGCTTGTTCTCAGAAAGCCTGCTTTTGGGGACAAAGGTGGCTGTGTGTTTGTATGATTGCAGGGTGGGGTGGGGGGTGGGGGGGATGGCATTGGGAAAGGTGGCAGAACGCTTCAGGCTTTAGGTGTTCCCACATGAAGACAGTATGAATAGGGCATGCTTCCTGCCTCCAGGATCACACCCTGGAGAGATCCACATTTATGTCTCAGAGTTTGGGGTCTTGATATAATAGCAGTTTGTGTTCTTCCAGCAGCACCAAGTAGCCCTTTATATAAAGAAATCAGTGTGTGTCTAGGCCAGAGAACTGGGGCAGGAGATGGCTGAGGGTTGCCATTCATCTGCTGGTTGACTCCAAGAAATCCAATCACCTTCTCTATGCCTTAACTTACCTATTGGTAAATGCAAGATAAATGTTTATTTTCCTTGGGGCATTTTGGCAATGAAATGATAAAACAGAAAGTTCTCTTAAAAAAGCAAGAGTCCATGTGTTCTATGCTACTTTTGATACTAAACCTGAACTTAGTAAAATTGTTTTTATTACAGTATCATGCAAGAAATAGAAAACTCACAGAAGTTCAAAAAGTTTCAAAACTTTTAGCTTTTTCAAAATTTTAACTACTTTTAGCTTTTTCAAAATTTTAACTTGTAAACAAAATTTTTAAAGTTTTAAATTTCACCATTTGTTCCAGTTATAATTTTTCTCTTTCCTTAGAGGTTTCACAATGATAACCTCAAATAATTATGCATATTGTACCTACTATTTTGTGCCTTGATTTTTCACAGAATGGCATCACTGAATCTTTGTGACTTTCATTTCCAATATCTGCAAACTATTGCAATGAGTTATTTTTATAATTTAACTAGTCTAATAGTAATTGACTTTCAAGCTATTTTTAGGTTTTCATTACAATGAATTAAGCTGTAATTAGCCCATGGCTTTTTAGCGGAATCAATCTGTGTATGACATTTTGTCTAATTATTCAATTAATACATATACATTGTAGAAAATTTAAATCCCTAGTAATTGTGCCACTGATAACACAGTGAACATATGGAGTCTGTCTCTTCATTCTTTTTCTCTTCATGTGCATATGTATATACATATATACACACACATCACTGGCCTGATGGTATGTGCAATATTATATGGTGATTTTTTTGGTACCGGGGATTGAACCCAGGGATGCTTAACTACTGAGCCCATATCCTCAGACCTTTTTTCTATTTTATTTTGATATAGGGTCTCACTAAGTTGCTTAGGGCCTTGATAAGTTGCTGAGGCTGGTTTTGAACTCACAATCCTCCTGCTTCAGTCTCCCAACCCACTAGGATTACAGGCATGGGCCACTGCCCCTGACATATGGTGATTTCTTCCTAGTAAACTATTGTGGCAGGACAGTTAAGACCTAGTTCAAATCCAGCCTCTGCCATTTAGCCCTTTGAATAAACTCTGAGCCTCAATTTTTCACACTTGATTAAGCTGGTTAGCTTTAGTTAATTTCCTTCTCTAGGTCACAGTCTTTAGAAGAAAGATAATAATAGTATCTGTCTCTGAAGGCTGTAAGAATCAATCCACAGAAAGCATTTAGGAGAAAAACTGGCATATAGTAATTTTTCCACAAATACTAGCCATAGCCATTTTTAATGCCTGTTCCACGTCAAGAAAAAAAAATTGGAAATCATTATTTTTAACGCCTTCCTAGTATTATGTTGCTCTTTTATAATTTTGTTTATTTCACTAACAAGGCAGTGAATTGTATGTACCTAAATCTTTGCCCCGCTTGGGCAAAGATTTTTTTCCATAGGAGAGCATCCTAGAATTGTAATTAATGGGTTAAAGATAGTATGATGAGTTTTCAAAGACTGTTAATACCTATGCCAAAATGCTTTGGCCGAAAAGATTTTAAAGAACAGGGACTTAAGCATGGTTTTCAAACTGCAGCCATAAGAATTGCAACCTCGGACTTCACCACTTTTTCCTCCTCCTTTCTTACGTTGTAGCATTGAGAGCCATACATTTGAGATTGCTAGAGTTTTGAGACGGTCCCTTGGTGCGAAAGGGGCCGGTGTAGGGGAGAGGCAGGTGGAGGAGGAGTAGGGAGCAGGTCTGAATGTCAGGAGAGCCCAGACTGTTTTAGTAATTGTATCGCGGCTGACAGAGGCAGCCGCGGTCACGTGGCCTGAGCATGACCTCATAGCTCCCGGGCCGGCGCCGGGGGACTCCGCAGCTGCAGGAGGAGGGGCAGGAGGGCATTCTGTCACCCCAGCTTGGCGAGTTATTTAAAGGAGAGAGACCTGGGGCTTGGGAACTCTTCTAGGTTCTCCCGGAGCAGAAGAAGGAGGAAGACGCTGCGCAGCCCCGGCTTCTCTATTCGCTGGGAAATGAGATTTAACCTACCATTAGCAACTATTTGCTAAATGCAACTGGCTGCAGGCCAAGCTCGGTGCCAGGTGCTTTACCCATTTCATCTCACTGCTTTCTGCCCATCCACATCTTACTGCCAAGGAAACAGAGACCGGGGGGACAGAAAGCTTATAATCCAGCCGCAGAGTGAAGACTGGTCCAAAGACAGGGGACTGGGGCAGCCGGGTGGGCTGAGTGTCCTGTTTGCTGGAGGCATCTTCCTGGAAGAAAGGGAAGAATGAAGGAGAACGGGAAAACGCAGAACTCCTCAGGACCTGACAGAGCATCTGGAGTGCGAAAATGGAATTTTAGAGAAAAGCTTAAAATAAAACAAAAAATCCAAAAGACCAGAGCAAAGCATTAGTAGGATAAAGGGGAAGCCCCTTGCCTCCTTCCCCACTGTCCTTGGTGGAAGAGTGTGGCTCTGCCCCTTTGAGAGTGCCACCCTGACCTTCAAGGCCCAGGGTTGACCAAAGTCCTTGGTTTTCCATTCATTCTGGACCCTCATGCAGGCAAGTGCCAGGCTCCATGACCCAGTCCTCTCAAATATTTTTCTCGCAAACTCCTAAAAGAATTTTAAAAATCTATGTACTCGCCCTGGCACATTTTTAGGCAAGAACATTTAAACATTTTTCATAAGTTTAAATAGCTACATAAAGTCTCCGTTGCTTTACAAATATTGACGTTTTAAAACAAAACTGTTATAGTACTCTGAAAATGTTTCTAAATGTAATGCTATAGTGATTGGATACTTCATCATCATCTCTTTTAAAAATACATGAGAAGTCGGACATTTTTCATTTCTTTTTTTTCTCTTTGAACGTATATTTCCATTCTACTTCTCTTACAGAATTTCAGCACAATTATAATCTTATGGCTGACAGTCTTTTATATACCATCCTATCATACTTCTTTGCAACAAAACTACATAAAATGAACTTATTTCTAAAATTTCCTGTGACCATAGACTCCAGTGTTAAAGATTATTTTGTCTGGATTTATAGCATAATAACTAGTATACATTTAACCAAAACAAATACTATTATGATTTTTTTTTGTGCTGGGTATCGTACCCAGAGCCTTGTGCATGCAAGGCAAGCACTCTACCAACTGAGCTATATCCCCAGCTCCTGATTTTTAATAAGTAATAAGGAAGCATAGAAATAAAATTCATCTCTCTCCTTTTTTTAAATTGTGGTACTGAGGATGGAACCCAGGGGTGCTCTACCACTGAGCTCCATCCTTATCCCTTTTTATATTTTATTTTGAAAAAGGATCTTGCTAAGTTGCTGAGGTTGACCTTAAACTTGGGATCCTTTTGCCTCAGCTTTCAGAGTAGCTGGGATTGCAGGTATATGCCATTGCACCTGGCAATAATGTGCATCTCTTAAAGAGATGAAGTGTTCCTCCACCCCAGTTAGTTCATGTGTCCATGAATGAATAGAATATTATTTATTGCTAGAAGGAGACAAGATTCAGCGTTATTTCTCTTTCTTTCTCTCTGTTTTAATTGATACCAGGGGCAAGCTCAGAAATCTTTTTCACATAATTACAAAGGAATACAAGGACTTTTGTGATAGCAACGTCACTCAACTGTGTAAATTCCCTTTGAATTACATACCAATATGAGTAGATAATTAAAACCCCAATATATGACAACTAGAATGGATTGTCCTTCATTTTGAATGATAGCAGAGAACTGGAAGCCATTTGATTTACCCAGTCATGAGATTACTCTCCTGACACTAGGATTTAGATTGTCCCTTCATTGCACGAAGCATTTTGTCCCCAAGTCTCTGCACCAGGCTAAGATTTGGGATGGGTAAGTCTACCTTTCTTTTAAGGAAATAGAGGAAGGGAGGGGGACCATGAAAGGGAGGCAGGTTCACATGCTTGGGCTCAATAGACCATCTATACAAAAAAGCTCTTGCGAAAGTTAAGAACTTGTCATGTGATTCTCAAAATGAGCCAGGGCAAAACCTGCATCCTTTGGAAAAATCTTCCAGTATCCCCC